GGAGTAGCTGGTGTGTTTGAACTGCTGCTCTTACCCTACTGGGCCACACCAGGACTATTGGTGGTGGTGGAAGTTATGTGCCATGGAGTCGGTTCCGTCTCACAGCAACCCTGTATAGAGTTTCCGAGGCTATAAATCTTTACGGGAGCAGAAAGCCTCTTCTTTCTCCCCCGGAACAGTTGGTAGTTTTGAACTGCTGTTCCTGAGGTTAGCAGCCCAATTCGTAACCACTGTGCTACCAAAGTACCAGGACTATTAGTAGTGGTAAATGGTTTATGTTGGTTAAGTTGTGTGTCTATTCACAACCTCCTTTGCTGAGCTGTTTGTTTCTCCTCCATTAACAAACTAACTGCCCCCTAAGGTGAAATTTTGTGTTGATTGGCTATAGAGAAAGCTTTTCTGAATTATTATTTTACTCTAAAAAGCAAGTTTCAGGAGGAAAATCCACCTTACCTTCCATCCGAGTTCATCTTCCCATTGCTGACAATGTTCAGAGAATTAAGTGGAAACATTCTCTCTCTGGTTAATATTTAAACAACAGACATGGTCTTTCAGAGAAATCGCCAATTTGTGAACAAGTACTTACAAATTTTTTTATGTAAGAGTAATGTCCATGATTCTATTGTTTTAAAACTTTATTGTTCAGTTGTAAACGGAGACTTTTTGAATTTATGCAAGATTGCCATCATCGAATTTATTGGTGAGATTTCATAGACAGAACCAAGAACAATAAGACATGAACGCACTCCTAGGACCTGAACAAAGATCTTGTTTCCTAAGAAGCCAAGAGAAAATAGACTAGAGAGCTGTGTTGTTGATTTTAACCTTTGAATACTTACACCCGGGCCTTCCCTCTCTCCCATCAAAGAAAGGTGCAGCATAACTCCATGTATATTTGTTGTAGGGTAACCAGGCCATATACAAATATTTACCTTTGTTCGCTCATTTATTCAACAAATATTTAACAGGTGCCACATCTAGGCTAGGTTTGGAATATCTTGATGAACAAGACAATCAGTATTTCTGTTCTTCCAGAATTCACAGGTCAGCTTTACAGGCATGTTGCCACCAAAACAATTAATTAAGATTTGGATGTGTTCTACAAATAAACAAGGTGCTAAAAGAGAGTAAATGACAGAAGGCTTTCAAAGTGGTCCAGGAAGGAGTCCCTAAGGAATCCACAGGAAACTGGCATGTGAAGGGGGAGTCAGCCAAAGAACGTACCAGGCTTGAGGAAGAGAGACGAAGCAGAGGTTCAGAGATGGGGCCTTGTGGTGTGCTGGAATGAGACTAGAGGAGGTGACAGAAACAGCCCAGAGCATGAACTAAGGCTCGGGAAGTCTGAGACAAGCTCTAGGAAGTCACTGAAGATTACCAAAGGCAGCGACTTGAAAGTCACACTGTAATAACGTCACTTTGGCCCAAGTATGTTGTTGTTAAGTGCCGTCGAGTCGGTTCCGACCCATAGCGACCCTATATAGAGTTTCTGAGGAGCATCTGGTAAGCTTGAACCGCAGTTCAAAACGACTTTGCAGTCTTGTGTATTAACCCACAGCGCCATACCAGGACTCCCTGGCTCCAGTATGGAGGAAGGAAATATATGTCCAAGGCCAAACTTGACAAAAGAACTTATAGCACATACTCAATAACTGTGGGTGTGAAGTCAGAGGAGGACTCCCTTTCATTCCTGTTTAAATGACATGCTCTTAAACCTTTCTGCACCATGTTTTTAAATTAAAGTTGCTTTTCTTTCTACTTGGAAATTTATTTCCATGACCGTGAGGGAAAGACATTTTGTCACATTAAAACCTGGCATTGATTAAATGCTTATGTGGTTGCACATGTGACTCAAATGTTTGAAATGCAGCTGCTGCTTCTTGTGCAGGCCAGAATAACTTCCTGGGTGGCAGGAAGTTGAGGGTGGAGGAAAGCTTTGTAATCACCAAGTAATTTGAAATAAAAATAACTTTGATGTGGTAAATGTAAATGCATTGGACCACAAGGACCAGATTTCCTCTAGAATATGTGTGAATTTAATGAAGGAGAACAGGGGTTTTGGTGAAGCAAGCTTTATATTGCATTTATATTTTGTCTGTCTAGAAACAAATGAGACTTCTGAGTCCCAAAACATAACCATACCGTCCCATTCCTACCTAAAATGCCTCCCACATGGGCCGTTTTTTGTAAGATGGCTCGTATGGGGAAAGTTAGAAGATGTAGGCTGTTTGGCCAAATTCCACAGCTATTGTTTCATGTGTCTGGAAGATAGAAAGTACCTGTCGTTCTGACTATGAGCTATGGGATACCCTTTAGGCAATTTGTCATTTCTTTCTTTTTCTTGAAAACATGCACTTTCCCCCCTCCTGCTCCCCCCCCCCCCCCCCCGTCCCCACCTAGGTATTGCCTGTAAATGACGAGCCACCAGTGCTGAAGGCTGACCTACTCCCCATGATGCAGTGCTCGGAGGGTGGAGAGGTGGTCATCACCTCCGAATACATTTTTGCTACTGATGTGGACAGCGATGACTCAAGGTTGATGTTTACGATTGCTCAGAAACCTCAGCATGGAGTGGTGAAGAACGCTGGAGTTGTAACGGATCGGTTCTTTCAGGAAGACGTTATCTCAGGGGCTGTGACGTACACACACACAGGTAAATGCTGCCAGCATCATGGCTAGCATGGGTGACAGAATGCAAGCAACACAGAGCTTCTGATACTCCATTGCGCACCACAGGCTGCCATAATCTAATGCTCTGAAAGCTCGTTTCCATTAAAAAGTAACCGGAGCAGCAGCCTGTACCCTCATTTTCCAATATGATCACCATGTTTGGAAGTCTTTCTGAGCCTGGTATTATAATAGAGTTCAAAGAATGGAGGAAGGGAAGGTACGGCATGCTGTTCTGTTCCTGGCATTGCCACATAAACTTCCAGTTCAAGTTGGGATTCTCCTTGTCTCTGTTGTCGTCCATTGAAGCCTTTCTTTGACTATCATATCTTGTTGTGTGCCCCTGAGTCAATTCAGACTCTTAGTGAGCTCACTTGATAGAATAGAACTGCCCCATAGGGCTTTCTAGCATATAATCTTTATAGAAGCAGATTGTTCGGTCTTTCTCCTGCAGAACCGTCAGGTGGGTTCAAACCAGCAATCTGTATTACCAGTTAGCAGTCAAGTGCTTAACCGTAGTGTTACCAGGGATCTTAACCCAAACTAAAACCCATTAACCATCTAGTCAATTACAACTCACACCAACTTTGTCAGATAATGTAGAACTGCTCCATCCGTAGCAGTCCCAAGTCTGTAAATCTTTTCAGAAGCAGATTGCCACAGCTTCCTTCCATGCAGTGTCTGGTGGGTTCAAACCTCCGACCTTTCAGTGAGCATCTCAACATTTAACCACTGTGCCACCATGCTTCCTTCCATCCTAGCCTATGGATCTACCAATCATAATAAAAATATCTGAAGTTAACTCCCTAAGATAGTAACAGCATTAGCTTTAAAAGTCTATTGGTTAATAGCTCCTAAGCAAGGTCAGTGGTTCAAGGTCACCAGCTACTCCTTGGAAACCCTATACAGGGTTGCTGTGGGTAGGAATCGACTCTACAGCATTGAACAACAACAACAAGAAGTATCTGATCTGTTTTTTGGGTTCCTGAAAAGCAAACTGTGTATGACTTGTCCATGGCACGTAACAGTGGTGAATGAAGCTTAGGTACATAGCAAAGACTTGTTTCTTAGCACCATGCTTACATTTCTATCCTTTCATTATACTGTGGTATTTGTTCCTCATGTGAAATGTTCAACTAAAAATATGATACATGAACTCTGCATCTGATATCTGTAAGTCTCAGCAGTAGGCTCTGTGGGGCTAGAAAAGAGTCTAATCTAGATCCTGCCGTGACGGGCTTTTAACTGAAATAGGCAAAAATCCATCATGCTCCGAGGACTGCAGTGTGACACAGTAATTCATACACACATCACAGTTCCTCTGCGCACATCTTCTGAAGACCAGGTGGGGACACTTCCTAAGTAACAATGCTGGAGTCTTCCTCTGTTGTTGTGAAGTGCCATCAACTCAGTTCTGACTCATAGAGACCCTGCATAGGCTTTCTGAGGAGTGATTGGTGGGTTTGAACCACTGACCTTGGGATCAGCAGTCTAGTGCTTATCCTATAATGCCACACCAGGACTCCAGCCTTCCTCTGTTACTAAGTACCGTCTAATTGGTTCTAACTCATAGCAACCCGGTATATGGTTTCTGAGGAGTGACTAGTGGGTTTGAACTGCCCACCTTGTTGTTAGCCATCCAGTACTTGTCCTGTAACCCCACACCAGGACTCCAGTCTTCTCTAGCTAGCTTTTATTACACTCTTATAATTTCCTAGTTACTTACTTTTCCGTTGTTGTTGTTAGTTGCCATTGAGTGGATTTTGGAATCACAGTGACCCTATATGACAAAGTGGAGCTGCCCCATAGAGTTTTCTAGGCTGTAATCCTATGGCAGCAAATCACCTGGTCTTTCTACCGAAGAGCCACTGGAAGAGACCACACTGTCAACCTTTCAGTTAGCAGCCAAGTGCTTAATGATTGTGGGACTCTTGTTACTATTCCATCTAGTTTAAATGATAAACTCTAGACAGGAAGTGTGACTTGGCATGTAAAGTCAAGTGAGAAGTACAGGAAATAGGAGCTATTAAAATTAAAATAATTTTTTTTTAGTTGAAGAGACATAAAGATTTCTAGCAATGGGGATGGAGCTGAGGGAATCCCACAGCTAAGGATTCATTTGAAAATGGAAGGCAACATTTTGAAATAATATTTTTCAAATTAGAGTCCTGGTGTGAACACTTAACCACAAGGTCGGTTTCATCTGCAAGGTCGGTGGTTCAAATCCAACAGCCATTCCTCAGAAACTGTATACAGGGTCGCTATGAGTTGGAACCAACTTGAAGGCACTTAACAACAATTTTCAAATCTATTTTGTAGCACGAGGATTTGTTAGGATCTGAGTTATCTCATAGGATCAAAAAGAAGAAAACTACAATGCATGCCACTGCTTTTCCAGACAGTCTTGCCTTTTTTCTTTTTAAAACATCTTGATTAGTAAGTAGAGGAAAATATTGAAAGACGTGTCCAAAATGAGTATTATCTTTGTATTTCATGTGTATTCTGCGTCTCATCACAGCTCTGTAGTAGAGGGTCGTTCCTTTAAGGTGATTAATGCAAACAGATGACAGGGGCACCTTCTGCCTTGAGCTGACTGTTGGCCCTAACGCTAGGCAATTAACAGGGAAGAATAAAACCATCACTTGTCAACTTCTTGCTTCTCCCTGGTTCATTTGTGAACTGACAGACCCCTGTTAGCCCCATTTTTCCCCTCCAGGTGATGATAGATTGTTGGCAGTGATTTCACCAGAGGCAACAGATAGGCAAGTAGTTTTGCATTTGTTTCATGGCTGTATTTAATTCCATTGTCATGAAATTGGTTTTTGTCTACATTGATCCTTTGCTTTGCCATTCTAAATTTGGAGGAAAGGTATGAATAGAGTCCATTTTGGTATTCTATTTGGTTTTGGTTTTTTTTAGTCAGGCTTTAACTAGAGTTGTGTCTTCCAGGTGGTGAGATCGGCCTGATGCCCTGCTTTGACACCATTACATTGGTGGTTTCGGATGGACACGCTGGCCCTGTCATGACTGGCTGCTGTTACAGTGGCCCCCATTCATCTGTTCCTCTTCATGAATCCTTTCCAGTGTACAACCTCAGCGTCTCTGTACATCCAGTAGACAACCAGCCACCTTCAATTGCTATCGGTGAAAATGACTTTTTCTGTTTTAAAGTCCTAATGCCTCCCTTAGGGTCACTGCTGTTATTTAATGAAAATAACTTAGTTTACATAGAATCAAAATAGGAAACTGTCCTATGGAATTGCGCGAATAAATGCTTCAACACATATTTGTAGGAAATCCCCAGTCTGTGAGTGAAAGAATTTAGTTACTTGAAAATTTAGGTAATTCTGTATGGATTGGGGTCTGTGTGTGTTGGGAGGAGGACAACAATAGGATCTTCAAATAGTCTGTTTTTATTTCACTTGTTGCTGTTGAATCAGTTCTGATTCATAACAACCCTGTATAGGATTTCTGAGGCTATAACTCTTTGTGGGAGCAGAAAGCCTCATCTTTCTTCCATGGAGCAACTGATGGGCTTGAACCACTGACCTTGTAGTTCCTAGTCCAATATTTATCCTACAGTGCTACCATGCTCCCCATGGGGAAATACTATTTACCTTCTGGTTGAGAGAGTGATTTATTTTCTCCATAATATCTATTAGAACAGAATAAGTACCAGGGAGACCACTTAAATACAGTCAGGTGCTATAGAACATCAGTATCCAACTGCATGTACATCTTTGGATTCATAAGGACATAACAGAGTTCAGAAATCCTGACTGGAGAATGGGAGTAAGAGAGATTACAGAAGAGCTTCTCAGGTCTCTTGTATACAAGGAGTCCTGATGTGGCACTGTGGGTCAATGAGCTGGACTGCAAAGTTGGTTTGAACCACTAGGTGGGAGGTTCAAGCTCACCAGCTGCTCCTCAGAAACCCTATACAGGGTCTCTGAGTCAGAACCGACTTGATGGCACTTGACAACAACTTGTATACAAAGTGACTGCGTGGCCAGGCATTCAGTGGCCAAATACGTTGTTGTTAAGAAGTGCCACTGAGTCATTTCCAACTTGTAGGGACCCCATGTAGGATTTCTGAGAAGCGGCTGGTGTGTTTGAACTGCTGACCTTTGGTTCAAACCGACCTTTATGATCCAGTGCTTATCCGACAGCACCACACGAGGACTCCAAGTACAAATATAACCTGTAATACATATGTCTTGATAGTCATAATAAACCGCCGCACAACTGTTTCCGTATGCAGTGGAATTTCTATCATTATGTTAATATGAACCTTCGCTACTTACAAATGAAGCATATACTGTGTAATAGTGTCTGCTTTGACTCATAGGCGGCAGTATCCAATCTTGTATATCATATGTTTCTGGAATGTTGCAGTGTTATTTCTCTGTTAAATTGTCTTTGGAACATATTACCACGATGACTCCCCAATGCACCAGAACCAGTGCTAGTGATTGCCGCAACAAGAGGCAACGGAGAAATATCGATTTGGAAGTGAAACCAAATTATTAAACAACATGAAGGTAGCAAATCAGTAAATGCTACTGCTCACGATTTAAACATGTTCACACAACGTCCAAATCATATAGTGTCCTATTTCACAGAATAGATCCTGGACATTAAGCAATACGTGACTAGATATTTAACTTTCAGAAAGTCACTTCTTCACAGGCATTATATATTTGTTCTGTCTCAGAAAAATAAAAAACAACCCACAAGCATATGTATGGATGCTATTGTAATTTGCAAACTATCTCCCAAGCAATGTTCTGGAAAGGAAGCATTGTCCCAGCAGAATAATTAAGCACCAAGGAATGAAACAAAATATTCATTGTGAGCAATTCATAAAAGCTCTCAGGCAATTAACTCTGACAAACAGAGGTAACAACTGATCTTGAAGAGTACATAAACTACACTGAGTTGCTTATCATTAAAACAGTTTGGCAATTCTAATTTCCATATGTCACTTCTATAGGCACACAAGGGAAATCAGGGTTTCTTGAGAATGAATGAAGGACTGTACTAAAGCATTTAGCATTTCTGTTGTCTTTCCATTGTGGTCTGGCTGCTTGTATTAGGGGGAAAAATGTAATTCCATAAGTCAAATTAAATTCCACCATTTCTAGTGAATATTTACACTGTAAGGAGAATTGTGCCAAAGGAAATGAACATCTCTCATGGAAGTGTATTTGCATATGGGAGACTTCTCTGATTTGGCATTTCAGTCACTCCCTTTGTCCTTCTTATTCTGATGTGAGGATCCCATGCTAAGTCATAACCGTGTTATTTTTGTGCAGGTACCATGTTCCTTGTAGATGAGGGTTTCTCAGCAGTGGTAACCATTAACCATTTGTCTGCCAAGGACCCTGATACTGCAGCAGATGACTTGGAGTTTGTTTTGGTTTCTCCTCCCCAGTTTGGTTACATTGAGAACATACTGCCTTCCGCAGGCTTTGAAAAAAGCAATATGGGCATAAGTATAGGTAAGTGCTGGCTTCAAGATGGGTAATGACTCACCTGTGTCTGTGGATCTAACTGACTGCAGCGTGTTTAATGACTGGATAAGGGCTTTAACCATGTGTGAAAGTACCACACACATCAGGGAATTAGTCTCATAATTGATTCCTTAGAATTAGATTTATTTATTCAGTTATTATTCATTTCTCAATGCATGTAAACTTACTATAAAAAATAAAGGGACATTTACTTACGAAAACTCGGAGAATAAACTTCAGGAAATGTCTTTAAAAGGCCCGCAAAGCAACACAGAGTAATGTGGTAGAATAGATCAGGTGGGGGCTGACAAGGATTCATTCTCATGTTGTTTTAGCATTTTTAATAGGTATTGATGGAAAATATTGATAAATATACTGTGGGCCTAACAGAGAGAAAGCCTGAAATGTTGACATAGATGGCATTAGTTTTGAAACTAAAATGTGACTCAGATACCTAAATAGCTCTTGGATTTTAGATGAAACAAAACCAAAATCTTCTAAACTTAATACTTTATAAGCAAAATGTTGTTGTCAATGTTTAGTGCTGTCGAGTCAGTTCTGACTCACAGTGACCCTGTGTAGGGTTTCCAAGGAGCGACTGGTGAGCTTGAACCTCCAACCTTGCAGTTCAAATTGATCTTGCAGTCCAGTGCATTAACTCATACATAGCGCCACACCAGGACTCTTAGAGGTAAAATAGATATTCCTACAGGTAGGCTGTTCAAACCCACTAGTTGCTCCTTGGAAACCCTATACAGGAACCAACTCGACAGCACTTAACAGTAACAACAACAAAAATAATGCTTTAGAAATAAAATGGTGATGGTGGTGGTGTGGATGGAGTAGGTTCCCACTCATAGCGGCCCTACATAGGGCTTCTGAGGCTGTAAATCTTTACAGGAACAGAAAGCCTCATCTTTCTCCCATGGAATGGCTGGAAGTAAAATAGATACTTGTAAAGATAATATTCTAGAGGTAAAATAGCTATGCCTTAAATGGTACGGTGCAGAAACATTCACAGTTAGAAGTAAATGCTTCTCCAAATTACCATTTGATGCATATTTTAAATATGGGAGTTGCTGAATTTAAGATGAACTGCATTAAAAGTTACCCAATTTCTTATGGAACCTCATACTCAATGTAGAGCTTTTTTTCCCCCCCTTCTCTTTTTATTTAAGGCAATGTCAAAATACCAAGCAGTGGGTTAGCTAAGTCTACTCAATATAGTTAGTTGCTTGATCGAGTAGGGAGATGATGGGCCAGCTCTTGTTGCTGGACCTCTCAATGTGAAAGAGCTGGTCCCTTTTTCTCCAAGCTCCACAAGAACTGTTGATGCAGAAGCAATGGTTTTAATCAAGCGAAGGTCCCTCTGACATTCATTCCAGGTATCTGAAGTTGTTGTTGTTAAGTGCCGTAGAGAAGAGTGGCCGGGAAATCCCTACACATCCTCTTTAGCGGCGATCGCCTCTGTTCTTCAAGCACATTTTAATCTTTCCTTACGATGTGCGGATCTCTGTTTTTATGCTGACAGTTAGAAATCATTAAAGCAACCCCTGAGAGGTGATACATATGTCAGCTGCCACGACAAAACCTATTTGCTGGAGAATAGGTTATTGGGTTAAGGATTTGGGACCAGTCGCTTCAGAAAACTGTTTTCTTACTTACCTGTTGCATCTTGGTGTACTCTAGCTTCATTCCAGTGGAGAGACATAAAGGCACTGCACATTAACTACGTACAATCCAAGCATCAGAGGGTCGAACCAACTGCCGACCAGTTCATGGTGTACGTCACAGATGGGAAACGACGCTCCTCGGAGATACCATTTTATGTTAGAATCAACCCCACAAATGATGAAGCTCCTGACTTCGTAGTGCAGAATATTACTGTAAGAGAAGAATCCACCTGTTCAATTTCTCTCTTGTCATTGGGTGGTTTTGATTTTCACCTAGTCTGGTTGCATTGTGGGGTACTGGTGTGGCGCTGTGGGTTAATGCTTCAGATTGCAAAGTCGTTGGAACTGCAAGGTCTGTGGTTCAAGCTCACCAGCTGCTCCTTGGAAACCCTATATAGAGTTACTATGGATGGGAATCAACTCAACAGCACTTAACAACAACAATAGTTGCATAGGTAAATGCGCACTTAATACATTAGGTTGGTAAGGAGCATCGTGTAATGCAGTCACTTGGAATATATCATTTTAATAATCATGATGATAGTAAAGGTAGTAAGAATTGCTGACGTAGATGGAGCACTTACCAGGTTGTAGGTACTGTTCCAAGCTCTTTACATGTATTTGCATTTAATCCTCACAGTGGACTTTAGGGTGGGTGTATTATTATTCCTATTAATGGAGTGATTTAAATCACAGAGCTTGGAAGTGACACATTAGGATTTGCACTCAGGCAGTCTGACTGTAGCTGGTAGCTAATGACATAATGGCCCAAATCCACCCAAACCAAACCCACTGCTAACAGGTCTGCTTTCTAACTTACCCATACAATAAGCACTGGGCTGCAAACCACAAGGTCTGTGGTTTGAGCCCACCAGCCGCCATGGGAGAAAGATGAGACTTTCTGCTCCCTCGAAGATTTAAAGCCTTGGAAATCCTATACAAGGTCACTATGAGTCATAACCAACTCAACAGCACGTAACAACAACAGAAGTAACCCTAGCTAGTGTTTCTGAGACTATAAACCTTTAGGGGAGCAGGCAGCCTCGTCTTTCTCCCAAGGAACTGACCTGTCAGTTAGCAGACCAATGTTTTAGCCCACAGTGCCACCTGGGTTCCTTCCTATACTGGCAGAGATCCTTAATTCAGAAACTGAAGGCATCTTGCTCATACCTATAAAGATATGAGATGGGAAAACTACAATTTGAACCATTCGTCTTAATGCTGTTTTAAAAAATATTTTAATACAATTGTCATTGTTGTTAAGTGCCATTAAGTCATTTCCAACCCATAGCAACCCTGTATAGGGTTTCCAAGGAACAGCTGGTGTGCTTGAACCACCAACCTTGCAGTTTAAACAGCTTTGCAGTCTGGCGTGTTTAATACAATAACATGTAATAATAAAAAAATAGTTATGTATTTAAAATGGTCCATATATACAACTCCTCAGGTAACACTGGTTAACTCTAAAGGTATATATATGTGCGTGGCTAACTGCTACTACAAGGTTGGTGGTTCAAACCCACAAAGCAGTTCCTTGGAAACCCTATATAGGGTCACTACAAGTCAGAATGGACTCAACAGCACTTAACAACAACAACAAACAAATTTGACTGTTGAGAAACATGCGGTATGTGAAATATGAAGTTTTCCTCTTTAACAGCCCGATCATTAGTCACTTTCCAAAGTTTGAGCTTTTAGTCATTCTTTCCACAATATCAATTGTGCACATGCCAGTAATGTGTATGTGTGTCTGTGTGTGTATGATTTTCTGGATGTTACGGTATCTATTATTCTGTTCTGTACATTTTTTTCCTGACTCGTAGAAACCCTATAGAACAAAGTAGAATTGTTCCACAGGGTTTTTGAGGCTCTAAACCTTCAGGGGAGCAGTCAGCTTGCTGCATCGAGTAACTCTTAGGTTTGAACTGTTGACCTTGCAGTTAGTAGACCATAGCTTAGCTCACTAAGTGAGTCAGAATCCAATCGATGACAGTAGGTTTGGTTTGTGTTGGGGCACTTTTTTAAAAAAACTTAATTATGTTGTTTGGAAATCTTTCCATATCAGGAGCCCTGGTGTGATGCTGTCGGATCAGCACTGAACCACCAGCTGCTCCTTGGAAACCCTATGCAGGGTCATTATGAGTTGGAACCTACTCAGTGGCACTTAGCAACAACAATTCTTTAAACATTTCTATATGTATGGTTACATAATCTGTGTGTGTGTGTGTGTGTGTGTGTGTTCTGAAGTGCCGTTGAGTTGATTCCGACCCATAGCAACCCTGAATAGGGTTTCCAAGGAGCAGCTGGTGAACTTGAACCACCGACCTTGCAGTTCAAATGACTTTGCAGTCTGATGCATTAGCCCACAACGCCACTCCAGGAAATTTTGACTAAAGTGAATGAGCACCGACTTTAGGATTAGACTTGGGCTGCCCTTTACTATTTATATCATTGTTAGTGTTCAGTGCAACCCTAGATAGGGTTTTCCAAGGAGCTACTGGTGAGTTTGAACAGCAGCCTTGTGGTTAGCAGTCCAGTGCTTATCCAGCAGTACCACACCATGGCACCAACCATTCCTCTGATAGCCCTCTGCACTGAGCTACATTCGGTAATTCATTGTAATGGTCACACAGAAGTCAGGCTCAGTACTCACAGTTACGGGGTTTCCTAGGGAAGTTAACAAGTTATAGATTCAGGATCAGACAGTGCTTTCAGTCAGGAGAGATGGTCCTCTGCCATACCCACAGGCAGGCCTCTCTCTGGCCTTCAGCCCCTTGGTCTGGCCTCTGCCTTGCTCAGCAATGCTACAAAGCTTGTTCAGGACTGCTGATAAATGCCCAAAGGACACTCCACTTTGCTGTAAGCCTTGGCTCAAAGGTTCTCAGCTCTAGCTCATGTATCAGCAAACCTAGCTCCCCAATTAAGTGCCTGGAGGCACCTCAATCTGCAAGCAAGCCTCATGCTCATAGGCGCTCAGTTTTATGTTCCCTCTGGACTGGGAATCTCAGTGCCGTTTTGTGCGCTCACTCTTGGTTCTGCTGCCACTCCTCGGGTGCCACATCTTTCTGGTCCCTGGTTGAGGAGGCTCAGTGTGCAGGGATCACTGGTTCCAATAACATGCTCCATTCCTGGCTCTTCTTCTTTGATGATCAGAAGATCCCCACTCTGGCTTCTGAGATGGCTTGTTTACCCGCGTTAGAGTTTCAAGTTCTTACAATCACAATAAACCCTGTTAACAATCATTCACAACTGAATCATATAATACCTCACCTTCTCTTTCCCAGATCCATCAAGAAAAAATCGTTTGGTGGGAGTTTACAAAGACTATAAATTGAAGTGACATTAAATAATTCAATGTTTCGCAGGTCCTGAACAAATTATTTCTCTCTGTGCTTTTGTTTCCTTATTTGAAAATTTTGCATCAAATCTTCCCTAAGGGGGTAGCCATGATAATCAAAATGGGGAGGCACAGAGTAGCCCCTTAATGAATTGTTGTTGTTGTTGTTGTTAAGTGCCGTCGAGTCAGTTCCGACCCATAGCGACCCTGTACAGGGTTTCCGAGGGTGTAAATCTTTACGGGAGTAGAAAGCCTCATCTTTCTCCCGCGGAGTGGCTGGTAGTTTCGAACTGCTGACCTTAAGGCTCGCAGCCCGATTCGTAACCACTACGCTACCAGAGCTCCTTAATGAATAGGTGCCATTATTACTACTATTAATACTACTATGCTATTAATGTTACTATAGTTGTTATATGAGGGACTTCGACAAGTTCATGGAAAAATGGAATGGAAAGATAATGAAATTCCTCAATGAATTTTTTCAAGACCCGAATTATTCCTTACAAAATTGACTAATGCAAGTATTAACTGTTTTTAAAGTATTATTTTGCCTTCTTTTCCACTAAAAGTGATTCAGTTTTAATTGCAAGAAATCATAATTTGGCTTTAATTTTCAACGGAATCTTAACAGTATATGAGAGCCATCCTAGAACTATCTGAGGGGTGGGGCTTACCAATCAGCTACTGCTTCTCTTCTCCCACTGGTACATGGTTTTTCTGGAGAATCCTTCAGTACTTATGATGGGGGTGTGTGTGTGAAATCTACAAATTATTCCTTCTTTGCATGTCTCTCTTCTCTTGTACCTGTCTAGGGGTTGAGTCTCTTACATAATTAGTCAATCAGCAGATTGTCCTTTGCTCTTCTCGGAAAGTAATCATGCTTGTTCCCTGTTTGTTCCTTAAAGAAGCTATTGAAGGAAAAAATGATATGGAGCCCCATGTGTTATTGGCAGAGATTATTGTAAGCTTCAGTTGATTTTTTAAATTGCCATATTTATTTTTCCTTCTTCTGAGAAAATTTATTTATTTTGCAGATAATTGGGCTTCCATCAAATAGTGCTGTAAAAATTCTTGATATTTTAGTTCACGCTCTTATAATCTCTTCCAAATATTTTGTGTGTATTTGGTCTGAACTTTTTTTTGGTCATAATTAATGAATAATTAGATCTGGAAAAAAAAGAGCTTCATAATTTTCTTCAATAAAATTCTCCAATCATCTTGTGAGTTAATTTACTATGTTCCAAATAGAAATATGCATGCAAAATAGCCAAATGAGAAATATGCATGTGAAAGTTGTACAGTGAATAAAGAAGACCATGCAGTTGAGCTATGGTGTTGGAGTAGAATATTAAAAGTACCAGAAGAACTAACAGATCTGTATTGGAAGAAGTACAACCAGAGTATACCTTGGAAGCCAGGATGACCAGACTTCATCTCTCATACTTAGGATTTGTTATCAAGAGGGACCAGTCCCTGGGGAAGGATATCATGTTTGGTAAAGTGGAGGGTCTGAGAAAAAGAGGAAGACCCCCCAACAGTGGTGGAAGCTATGGGTTCAGGCATAGCAATGACTGTGATGTTGGCCCAGGACTGTGCAGTGTTTTGTTCTGTTGTGGATAGGGTCGGTATTAGGCAGAACTGACTCGATGGCACCTAACAACAACAAATGAGAAAGGTTGTATTCAATGAGTCAGGGAGTCCCAAATTCTATGAAGAAGTAGAAGTACAACAGGATTTAAAAGTTTGAGGGGGAAAGCAAGTTGCCATTGAGGATGATTTTAAGTATATCATTGTGGAATAAACTATGATTCTCCTTAATCTTTAAGATGGTGGGCCAGATAAAAGAAAACCAGCGCTTTAGCCCAGTGATTCTCTGTTAGGCCAAGTCAGTAAAAGGTGGTTGTTGGCGAATTTCCTTAAGCATCAATAGGAGAAGTTAAACAAGAATGTGCATTTTTGCTATCGTAAACCAGCTATGTTCTTCAAGGCATAAATGGCCTGCATCCATGAGGACATCTCTAGTCTCCTGGTCTCCTCTCCCCTTTTGTGTTTCTTGTTTATCTGCACCCTCGGAAACCCTGTACAGGGTCGCTATGGGTCGGAACTGACTCGACGGCACTTAACAACAACAACAACAAGCAACTCTAGATGTTTTCTTCTTTGCATTATAGTTGTTGGGTTTCTTTCCCATAGAATCTTCAGTTCAGATGATGGATGTGAGGGAGGAAAACCATGTACCAGTGGGAGAAGAGAGGCAGTAGCTGATCTTTAAGCCCCCACCCCTCAGGTAGTTCTAGGCTGGCTCTCATATTCTGTTAAGATTCTGTAGAAAATTAAAGCCTTTCTGGGCCTTGATTTCCCTCAGATGGCACTCCAGCTCCTTGCCCTCTACCACACAGCCATCTGCGCAGCCACACTGGCCTGGGCTTCAAGTGATGCACACAAGAAGCTTGTCCTCTGGAACTGCTCTTCCAGAAGACTGCTGATTTTTGCATTCTTCCTCCTTTCATCATATTTTTTCTGAATTTTCCTTGATCACTTTTTGTTTAATATTTCTTCCTCTTCAGGAGTCAGTTTGGCTCCCTTCTTGTGGCTCAGAGGCAGTGCATTGTGGGACTCTGAGTATTCACTCTGTAAACAAGAATCATTGATGTTGTCTATAATGCATCCAGTAATGAGCTGGTCCGCACCAAGACCGTGGTAAAGAACTGCATCCTAGTTCATGATAGACAGGCCTTTAACATCTCCTCTCACTGGGTTTGATGGCTCTTGAGGATATTTGAGTTCCTCTGCATGTAGCATAGGAACTTATACATCACAGTTCCCAAGCATGCATTGCATTTATAAGCTTTACTTATTTAGATCTTGTCATATTTCAAATAGGAAGCTGGAGCATGTCTTGTTTTCCTTATTCTCATAAATAATAGTAGGAAAAAAGGCCAAGACTACACAGTACTATATCTTCTCACTCGGGGTGACCAGCTCCTACATGATGTGAAAAACAGCCAGCTCTCTTTGAGCTTAAAATATGAAACTGGAAGTGGGCTGTGGAGAGGGGGTAGGAAGAATAGTTCAGTAAAATTGAAGGTGTTGAGTAGAGATGAGGGCCCTGAATTAAAATCTACACTACAATACTTCCAGACATATCCCTCTCAATTTTTGTGAATTGCAGTTTAAACTCAGAAGTTTTTTGTTTTTTTACTGTGGTAATAAAAATAAGATATAGCAACCTCCCTTTCTTCTACTTCCAGATTGCATACCAGATATTTATAAGAAATATTGATGTTGCTAAATGCCATTGAGTTGGTTCCAACTCATAGTGATCATAAATAGGGTTTCTGAGGAGCGACTGGTGAGTTTGAACCACTGGCCTTGCAGTTCAAACTGACCTTGAGGTCAAGTGCTTATTCTACGGTGCTACACCACATCTTTCTAAGAAATACAGGAATTGTGAAAGCAGAGAGGTGCTGAAGGATAAAATAACAGATTAGGATCTGAATGTAAAGACTCTAGATTCAGTTTTACATCTGGAATTATTTGTAGTTTCCAGAAAGTAACCTTTCATATGATTAATTTTCCCCCAAACTTTAAATTATGAACAATATATACATTTTGCTTTTCATGAAAATAAAGTGCTTTGAAATCAGTAGGGGGAAAATGCAGGCACATTAAAGTTTCTTTTTTTTCTTTTAAGTTTATCTTAACCCAGCAATTTCTTTCTAGACTGGTTACAAGCAAATCTCATGGAAAAATGTGAAGTAGGATATCTTACAATGATTCTTCTTGGGCAGATGTGACTGAGTGAGCGCAGATGACTCTTGGGGCTTGTTCTTGTTTAGGTCTATGAGGGTCAGATGAAAGAGCTGGGCTCTTCTATCAGTGCTGCTGATCTCGATGTTCCTAAGGACGCCTTGCTGTTCACTGTCACTCAGCAACCTCACCATGGCCTTCTCCTCTGTGTGTTTGCTGAGGGCCTCCCTCAGTATAAGCCTCCAGCAAGCTCTAACCAGAACCATCAACTTGTCCACAACTTCTCCCTGGAACTTCTCAAGCCTGGTATGTCATGTTCCACATCTATTTGTTTGTTATTGCTCATGATTTATTCATTTAACCCAGAAAATATGATAGATGACGGAAATAGGAGGTGAAGAAATAGCATTCATGGACATTATTCATTTACCATTTATATAATGATTGCCTCCAGATTCTGGATTAACACAGGGTAGGAGGCCCCAGCGAGAATTAATGGGTATTGGGAAAGTAAATAACTTGTTTTATTTCATTTGTAGAATCTCATTAAAGATACTTAGAATTGTTGATATTTCAGCTCCCGCTTCCCATGCTTTTCAGAACTACTGAGATCGTAGATTCGTCTGCCAAAAGTTCCACTTCTGTAACAAAGAACCACACACAATAACTCATTATTCTCTGAGAAGATGATTTGCTCTTTAGGGAAATGACACATCAGAATAGCAGCCTGAATTAGTTAATGATTCTTTTTAAAAAACGATCTCATGCCATTTTTCCATATAGTAAAAGGACTTTTCTAAATGTGGAAAGCAGATGTGGTTCGAGTCTTGGAGTCCCGGGATGGTGCTGTGGGGTAAAACACTAGATCACAAGGTGGTTTGAACCACAAGCAAACCCACCAGCTGCTCCTTGGAAAACCTGTGCAGGGTCGCTATGAGTTGGAACCGACTGAACAGCACTTAACCTAACTTAACTTATGCAGTTCTAGAAGGTCAGCAGTTCGAATCTACTAGGAACTCCTCAGGAACTCTCTTCTTCCTTGATGCCCCCACATCCCCCACCTGTACTTGCCTCGTCTTCACAATTGTTCAACAGTTTTTGTGCTGCCTTTCCATTCTTTCCCCTAATTAGCTCTCTGCCTCAGTTTCTTTTGCAACAGTTGCACTACGCCATCTTACATGTGAATCTGGGGAAACTAGTTCATCTCTTTCTTAATTTGTATAAGTTGAAAAGAAGTAATTCTGAGATCTAAATGATGGTGTTATGAAATAATTAATAGTGTGTGGCAAAAATAGAATGGGTTGTTATAAATATGATTAAAAATTTTTTTTATTTTGAGGCAAAATAAAAAGGAATAACAATTTAAAGTTTACACTCATAGCCAGTTTTTAAAAAATTAACATTTATTCATTATTTTAGGGTTAGCAAATACCATTTGATAAAGTTTGGACTATCTGGTTATTTAAAGAAAAACGATTCACATAAATTGGAATCCTGATGTGGCACTGCAGAACAATGTGGCACTGCAGAACAAGATTGGTTTGAATCACAAGGTCGGTGGTTCAAACTTGCCAGCCGCTCCTTGGAAGCTCTGCACAGGGTCTCTATGATTTGGAACCAACTCAATGGCACTTAACAACATTCACATAAATGAATACTTTGTTTAGTTTTTGGTAAAATTTCTCAGAGGTTAGATTTTCACTTCTCATTTATTATAACTATACTTTTTTAAACTTTGCTTTTGTATATTCTCACATATTCCCACACACTCAAACATATTGAATATTCTATTTTTCGAATCAATTATTATAAGCATCTTACATCTTAAATAGAAGTAGTTCTCAAAGATGGCGGACCAGGTAGATATGCAGTGAGGAGCTCCATTACCAACAACACAGAATATTGGACTAAGCAGGCTCAGGGAATGGCGCTAGAACCCTGAACCACATATAAAGGAATATTTATATGCTACAGAATCGACCCATTAATGCACGCAAGTTAATTTTTCAGCATATTCACAGAATTTTATTATTATGATTTTACCACAATCAATTTTAGAACATTTTCATTACCTCTGAAGAAACTCTACCATTTTCAGTGTCCTATTCCTCCCTTGCCACAGTGCCAGGCAACCACTAACCTACTTTCTATCTTTGCAGATTTGCCCTTCTGGATGGTTCATATAAATAGAATAGTTGGTCTTTTGTGACAGATTTCTTTTATTTAGCAAAATGTTTTCAAGTTTCATTCATTTTATAGCATGTTTCATTACTCCTTATTGTTTTTAAGTGCCATCAGTTGGTTCCGACTCATAGCAGCCCTGAATAGGGTTTCAGAGGAGTGGCTAGGAGGTTTGAATCACTGACCTTGCAGTTAGCAGTCCATTGCTTATTGTATAGCACCTCACCAGGACCCCTATGATGTTTCATTACTAGCTGAATTACTATTCCATTATAGAGATACACCATATTTTATCTACCCCTTCATCAGTTGATAGACAGTTGGGTTGCTTCCATTTTCTGACTTTTATGAATAATACTGCAGAAACCATCCATGCATGAGTTTTTATATAAACATGCTTTCATTTATCTTGGGTATTTTACCTAGGAGTGGAATTGCTGGGTAATATGGTATTTCTTTGTTTAACATTTTGAGAAAATGCCAAACTTTTCCAAAGCAGCTACACCATTACATTCCTACCAACATTGTGTGAGGTGAGAAAGTTTGTAGAAAATGGAAGTAAAAGATTATGGAATTTTTCCATGAACTTTTTCAATTCCTCTCATATTAGTGTTTTAATTTATCCACTTTCATTGTCTATTTTTTAAATCCATAACTATCCTATTAGGAGAAGCAACACCAACTAATAAAAACTAAACTGCATCCATTGCTATCAAGTTGATTCTGACTCACAACGACACCGTGTACAGGGTAAATCTTTACGGAAGCAGAAAGACGCATCTTCCCCCTGAGGAGCAGCTGGAGGGTTTGAGCTGCCGACCTTGCAGTTGGCAGGCCACTGCTTCTCCTACTGCACCACCAGGTCTCCTATCATAGTGGCCTAGAGATGATATATTATTTGGTTTTGACTTGCATTCCCTAATGACTGAGGAGCTCCGATGGTACTGTAGGTTAGGTGTTGGACTGCTGACCATAGACTGGTAGTTCAAACCCACCAGCTGCTCTGAGGGAGAAAGATAAGGCTGTCTGCTGCTATAAAGATTTACAGACTTGGAAACCATATATAGGGTTGCTATGAGTAAGAATGGACGTGAAGGCAGTGAGTTTGTTTTGTTTTGTTTTTTAATAACCAATGAGCATCTTTTCATGGGCTTATTGATCATTTGTATCTATTGTTACATCTTCTTTGGAGAGAGAAATGGCTACTCAAATCTTTACTCATTTTTAAATTGCATTATTTGCCTTTTCGTATTGGGCTGTAAGAGTTCTTTATATATTCTAGATACTAGACCCTTATCAGAGAAATAACTTGCTAACATTTTCTCCCACTCTGTGGCGTGTGTTGGGATGGTTTTTACATAAGAAAGACCTTCTTACTTTCTCTCTCTTGTACCTCCTCCCAGGAATGAGGTTGCTGTATGTACACGATGACTCTGAGAACTATGTTGACGATTTCACAATCCAGTTGTCAGATGGGAAACATAAAATTCTTAAAACCATTTCAGTAGAAGTCACCCCTGTTAATGACCAGAAACCAAAGCTGAGCAAGTAAGACACATTGAGACTCTCTTGTCAGATGTCCTATACAATTCTGTGAGGTCTGGAATGTTAGGTCCAATGTGCTGGGCATCTCTAGAGAGAAGTGAATCCTCCACAGTCCCCATCTGTCTTAACTTGGGCATCTAGAACCTTTGGTATAGATGTTGCTATAGCCTCTCCTTAATAATTCTTAAATTAGCTCTGTAATTACTTGACTGTGTTATAAAAGCTTTAGTTAGTTGTGAACGAGTTCTTATAGGACTCCTGGTATGGTGCTGTAGGATAAGCACTGGGCCACTAATCATAAGGTCTGCAGTTCAAACCCCCCAACTGCGTCATAGTGAACCTACTCGATGGCACATGACAACAAGCTTGTACCATTTTCTTTGCTGCTCTCTCAATGTCTTATGGACTTTGTTTTGCAGAGTGAAACAGAGCATATGTCACATTGTTTTCAGTAGTTTGGATAGTGAATTATTGTTGCTAGATACTGTCTAGTTGGGTCCAAGTCATAGTGACCCTGTATAGGGTTTCCGAGGAGCAGCTGGAGAGTTTAAATCACTGACCTTGTAGTTAGCAGTCCAGTGCCGATCCTAGCGCACCACATACCATCCCTAATTATTTGAGGCTGGGAAGCGGCGGTAGTCATTATAAGTGCCCCTTTGCAAAACCAATAAAACTTCTATTTCATATCAACTCAGGCCTTCTTTTTCCGTAGGAAGGCAGAAATTGTGATGTCTATGGGGGAAACCCGCATTCTTTCTGGTGCTGTTCTTTCAGCCACAGATGAAGACTCACCCAGAGAAAAGATTGACTATTTCTTTGAAAGGCTTCCCCAAAATGGGCAACTTCAGCTTAAGGTAAGTGGCCTCTTCATTTTCATTTTTCGAAACAAGTATACATTTTCTCAATATACGAATTTCTACAACTGAATTTAGTTTCTAATATCCATATTTTGCTCAGAAGTAGAAACATCTGCTTTTCCCAATTCAGGGTGAAGTAACAGCCTTCTAAAATTTCTTAATCAACTCAGGGTACATTCACCCAGTCTTAAGGTTCTCCATTGCTTCCTGTCTCACATCCTGAGGATTATACTAAACTTCTGAGGAGTGGAGAGTTTAGGGAAGAAAGCAAGTTGTCTGGTTTTGCATGAGAATCCAGCTTCCTTTGAAATCATCTCAGTTATTAAACTCTTACAGGCCTACCAATTCTCTCTGTGTGTGCTAAATTCCAAAATATTCTAAGGACTATGAAAATCTTGATGCCTTTTGCATTCATCTTCTGCCCTGAATTCCCCAACAGCCATCTGTGCTCCTTGGCGTTGTGGGCAGTAACCCCAGGGCCATTTCTCCCCCTGTCTTTTAGAGTGTTTATCAGTGAGCATCTTTCTAGTTCTTTATTTTTTGTTCCAGTTCTTGTCTTCAGCCCAAAGTGGGGCTAATCCTTATTTCTTCTCCAGGGAAACAGCAAAATGTTCTCTATCACATCTGAGATGATCCTAAACATCAAAAAGTTGCTGCCTTTCTTCTCCATTCCCCCCTCCTCCTTGGGGCACCAGAAAACTCATGTTAAGGTTTGAATGGGCAGAGTCTTCAATCAAAAAGTAAGCATCTGGAGGAAACGTCACGGTGTCATTGTCAGATTCTTAACAACTGCCACAGTTGAATCCATGATGTAAAAGGTTGACATTCCTGGATCTCTGTGTGTTCTGGAAATTATTTGCTTTCATGGCAAGCAAATAAGCATGGAAACTACTGGAGGTAGAGACACCTGGGTCCTGTTGCTAACTTCCAACAGCTTGCGCTGTATTCTGATGGCATCTTGTTGTCCCACTTCAGTCTGGAATAGCAACATTTTGGTCTGATTCACACTGTGTGCTTGATGCCCGAGGATTAGATGAACCCAAATTATAAATCAGTCACTTGGGAAGGTCACTTGAGTAATCAGTCAAAAGCGTTTATTTCAATGGTAGGTTAAGACTAGTGACAACAATCACCAATCATCCCAACATGATTATTTGATTGAAACACTTAACTTTTAATCGAATGTAGACACAGCCCTAAAGAGTGGCAAGGATTCAGTCTGTGTGAATCAGCTTGATAGTCTTAGACTATAGGCACCACAGAGAATCAGAATGATGAAGAGCAGTCACTGATTTGAATGGAGATACAGCTGTGGCCTTACTGCATCTCAAAGAGTAATGAAAAACACAGTGGAAACGTACACATTTGTGTGGCTTGAGGACAGAAGTGTTTGGATATGTGAGACTCCAGATGGACCCAGCTTCCAAGTATGGACCCACATAGTTCTCTTGCAGCTCGCTAGGAGTTCCTCGAGTCTCTCCCAGACCAGGGACTAGGCCCTCAGTCCTGGACCCCCCTGAGGCCCTGTTTTCTTATTGGCTGTTCTTTGCCTTCCTCACCTTTTATTTCTTTGGGGTCTTCACATGATTTTTCTCAAGTCAAAGTTCACGTTTTGGATACAAGTTCAATGGAATTATAGGCTGTCCAGCTTAAAACCTGAAAGGGAATCTGTTTTAAAAATTATATTTGCAAATAGAATTTGTGATGGAAACAAGAAATGTGCTTAAATATTGCAATGTAATTAATGTTCACCCAGTGAATACAGGGCAGAACATAACCTGTCTATAAATATCAGCCAGCCAAAAGTAGTAAAGAGGAGGAAAGTTTATCAAATCAATTACATAATAAATGAGATCAAACCAGTTGCCGCTGAGTTTGATTCTGACTCTTGGGTTATAGGGTAGAACCTCTCCATAGGGTTTTCAAAACTGTGACCTTTCTGAAACAAACTGTTAGCCCTTTCTTTCTAAGTGCCTTTGGGTGGGTTTGAACCACCAAGCTTTTGGTTTGGTTGTTGAGTGCTTAGTGCTTTGTATCACCCAGGGAAACCAAATGACATAATGTTAATCCATTAGAGTTGGCAAAAAGCTACTTAACCCGGAAATGGGAGCTTGTGGAATAATGCATCAGGGAAATAGAACGTCAATGATTTAAATTTCTGTGGTAGTTTCTTAAACCAGATAGGAAAAGCACAAGAGAATATCATGTAATTTTTTAAAAATTCTTGAATTATGCCAAATGACTTTTATGAGCTATTGTCAGGGAAAGTTATGTACCTCCAGAGAATAGCTGTAGGGTTATTGAGCATATACAGATAATTATTATATTTTCGAATATGCTCAGTTTTCTGCACCCCTCCCCTTCCAGCATAAGACCCTATTTTAATTGAAAATGTCTCAGTTCCTGCACTAAGTCCTGAGTGGAATACACCTTGTTTCTAAGAGATTCAGCTAAACAATAAAATGTGGTCTGTGCAGCTTATCTTTTTGGCTGACTTAGTATATAAATGTGGGGCACAATAGGGATTTTGAAGCTTTTAAGGGGTTTGAGGTAGTACGGCTGGAAGTAGATGTTAGATGTATCCATTCTGTTTTGTCTCACCTCCTTCAGACAATCGCCAGTTTGAAAATACGAGTTTGATTAGTTGTATAATGACATGAACTGCAAAAAAAACACCAAAAAAACTACAGCGAACCTAAAAGATAGATGTTTAATTTTTTAAGGAGCCTATTTCAGCAGCTAGATTACCCAGCTGTTGTCATTAATTAGAATATTCAATCAACTATGATTGCTTATGATAAATACCTTGTTGTTGTTAGGTGCCATTGAGTCGGTACTGGTAGCAATAGCATTAAATTGCCACATGACTTAGGAAAAAATACTTTTGGTTGAAGCTAGTGTTTCCCCAGGGTCTGAAATTGTTTAGTATATATCTTGCTCCCCTCCCCCAGCTTTGGAAAGGAAAACAAGGTAAAATGTCAAAAAGTAGACTGTGGACTTTTCCTAAATTATTGCTTATGTTGGAGACTCTGGGGACTATGGAACATGCCTACTAAAACAACTTCCTAGGCAGCTGACTAATTCTGGTACCTTTCAGATAGGGAGGGACTGGGTCCGGCTCTACCAAGGCATGAAGTGCACGCAGGAGGAAGTGGATATGAACATGCTGAGATACAGACACACTGGGGCAGTGGATTCCCAGAACAGAGACAGCTTCACCTTCTACCTGTGGGATGGTGACAACAGGTCACCAATATTTGACTTGCAAATCACCATCAAAGACATGGGAAAAGGTAAACGTATATTCTACCAAGGTTAATAAGGACCAACTTACATAATTAGAAGTGAGCTGGCATAGCCTTTAACAAATGTTCACTGCTTCCTTCCTCTTTTTCCTGAAAACTCTTAACATTCACGATCAACTTAATGACCCCTACCTCTTGCTCAGGGTCTGTGTTGCCTGGGATCTCTGAGATTCTTGAGAATAGAATGACAATTCATTTGTTATTTTCATTATTTCAAAAAGCTCTGAGCTAAATTGGATGTTTAAGTGCAATAAAACTCCTATTTCAGGTGCGTTTTTAAAAAAATGTATGCCAACTTATTTAATATTGGGTTAGACATTGGACTGTTACCACAAAGTTCAGCAGTTTGAATCCATCAGCCGCTCCATAGGAGAAAGAGATTGGCGTCAGCTTCCACAAAATTTGACAGCCTTGGAAACCATACAGGGTAGTCCTACTGGGTAGGACTCGTCTGCACAGCAGGTTTTAGAAATAACTTAAGGCCTTCCCATTTTACTGTATCTTCTGATTTGCACAACGGCTAAAGCAACATGGAGCCCATTGAGAGGCGTTTAGAAGGATGTTGTCTATGGTGGCTAACCCTTCACTGCACTGGCAGTCCTGTGAGACTGCATGGAGGCAGAAGCAGCTGCCTGCTGTCCCCTCAGGCTGTCTTCTGCTCCTGGGGAAACCTCTCAGGAGTGCTTTTGTGTTTCCTCAGCCTATCTCAGTCTTACTCCCTTGATCTTTTCATCTTGCTTCGCTCTGTAGCATCTGGGGCTCGGGTTTTGTCTTAAAATTAAGATGGCTTATGGAGTCCTGGTGTGGCGCTGTGAGTTAATGTGCCAGACTGCAAAGCCGTTTGAACTACTAGCTCGGTGGTTCAAGCTCACCAGTCGCTCCTTGGAAACCCTATGCAGGGTCGATATGGGTCGGAATCGATTCTATGGCACTTCACAACAACAACAATGGAGTCCTGGCATGATGCTGTGGGTTAATGCACTGGACTGCAAAGTTGGTTTGAACCATAAGGTTGGCAGTTCAAGCTCACCAGCCATTCCTCAGAAACCCTTTACAGGGTCCCTATGGGTTGGAACTGACTTGAAGGCATTAACAACAACAATAGGGCTTAATTTGCATAGTATTTTGAGATAGAAGTGTTAACCAAAAAGAACAGTTGTATCATCTAACATAAGATTTCTTGATGTTGGCACTATTGACACATTAGAACAGATAATTCTCAGTGTGGGGCGTTTTCTTGTGCATTGGGGAACATTTAGCAGCACCCCTGGCCATTACCGACTAAAAGCCAGGAGCAAACCCCAGTTACGATAACCAAATATGTCATCAAACATTATTAAATGTCCACCGAAGGGACAAAATAGCCCCACTTGAGAACCACTGCTCTAAAGTGGTGCCTTCTTGGTATTTTATTTGCATTTTTAAATTTCCTCATGAGACTGAGTATGTTTTAAAAATGATACTGACTATTTGCATTTTTAAGATATAGAAATGACATTTACTTCACTCATTTTTGTTTTGGGATATTGAACCTCTTAGTCTTGATTCATAAGTTGTAGTGGCTATGAGGTGAGGTGCTGTCATGTTGATTTCAACTCACTGAGACCCCCTGTAACAGAATAGAACTGTCCCATAGAGTTTTCTTGGCTGTAATCTTTATGGGAGTTGATTCCAAGGTTATTCTCTTACAGAGCCACTGGTAGATTCGAACTTCTGAACTTTCATTTAGCAACCAGGCACTGAACCACTGTACCACCAGGACTCCTTCTAAATATAAGAACAAAACCCATATACCTCCTAGAAGATACACACACGTCTTTGTCTTTAACCTTTCCCTTCATCAATGCCACCTTTCACATGGCCCTTGACCACAAGCTCTTCTGCCACACAGGTAATATTGTCATCCATGCAAAGCCCCTCGTGGTGTCTGAAGGAGACAGAGGTATCTTGACAACCAGCAGTCTCCTTGCTGTGGATGGAACAGACAAGCCTGAGGAACTCCTCTATGTCATTACCTCCCCGCCACGGTATGGCCAAGTTGAATACCTCCGCTACCCTGGAGTCCCCATTGCAAGCTTCAGCCAGATGGACATAGCAGGGCAGACAGTCTGTTACGTGCATAAAAGCAAAGTGGCTGCCCCCAGGGACGCATTCAGGTGAGTGCCTTGGAAACTTCTCATAAAATAAAGTGTGGGGTTGGGGAATGAGTCCATTTCCAGGTATTCACTGATTTCTGCCTGCCTTGCTATGAAAGGTGAACCACACAAAACACCAGCAGTGAGTCAAGACATCAGGGCCTATTTTTAAGAACGAAGGCATTGTTTTGTGAGGTGATGTGGAGCTGGTGCTGACTCATGGTGACCCTGAGCACAACAGAACAGAACACTGCCTGGTGTGCACCATCCTCGCTGCTGGTGTTATGTTGCAGCCATGGTGTCAACACCGATTGCTGAGCATCTTCCTCCTTTCTGCTGACCCTCCCAGTTACCATGCGTGATGTCCTTCTCCATGAAAGTATAATCACATCTAAATGCAAATTGTTTGGGAAAAGGAATGAGAAGAGCTGAGGGTGCCCAGCTAAGGAGAAGCACAGGGAAAACAGTTTACTGCTCTTTTTTGAAGTCTGCTTTTCTAGCTGATGGAAAGACTTTTACTAGAAGCATTTGGCATAAGCAGACATTGCCTTTTGACACAATGTGTTCTGGTGGCTGTATCATAAATCATGTTGTCATAAAGTGGATCTTATTTCCCTGTAGAAACAGTGCTGTAATTGGGGACTGTGCACCTGTTCAAGGATTTCTTACCAAATAAACCAGTGGAATGAATAGCAGTCTAGTCACAAGGCAGAGATGCAACATTAATGGAGGGCTACATTCACTTCAAATCTTCAAATCTGTTTCAAGTTACATAAAAGCAAGAGAAACTCAAGAGGATGTGCCATCTAGCCGCTCATGGCTGGCCCTGACAGAAATACAGATCTTCAAGCCCTTCCCGATGTAGGCTTGGGCTGAGGGCCAGGGAATCGGGTAGCATTTGGGAAGGTCCCGAGAGTATTGATTCTTCTGCCATGGATCAGAACTTCTGGCCCCCAGGATAATTTTCAGGGTGTCACCATGCATCCCTCAAAAAGGTGTTATAACACATCATAGATGGAGCCTACGTCTACGTTATTCAAAGGGTCTCCAGAAACCATAAACTACGTCTAACACTCACACTCAAATCCCACTCTCTACCATGTAGTCTACCTATTTAGATTCCACGTGCCTATTACTGGTATGTCCTGGTGTGGCACTGTGGGTTGTTAATGCGCTGGACTGCGAAGTCGGCTTGAACTGCAAGGTTGGGAGTTCAGACTCAACAGTTGCTCCTCAGAAACCCTATACACGGCCATTATGGGTCAGAACCAACTGACAGCACTTAACAACAGCAACAACATTACTGATGTGGCACTGTAGGGTAAGCACTGGACTGCAAGGTCAGTTTGAACTGCAAGCTCAGCAGTTTAAACTCCCACCTGCTCCTCAGAAACTCTATACAGGGTCACTATGAGTCAGAACGACTCGATGATTCTTGTTGTTGTTAAGTGCTGCCAAGTCAGGTTCTGACCCATAGCGACCCGTACAGGGTTTCCAAAAAGTGGCTGGTGAGCTTGAACTGCCAACCTTGTAGTTCAAACCACAGCACCAAACCAAGACTTCTATGATAGACATTGTATAAATGGCATTAAAGGTAGTGTTGATTGTCTGATTGGTATTAATAATGATTCATGAAGCTGATTTGAATAACATACCCAGTGAAGTTGAAATCCTAGCCTCTTTATCCTTTTGATGAATGTCCCCTTGACAGGTAGATAATCATTTGGTTGATCAGCATCATAATAATCAATGCAGTGATTAGGTGATACCAGGCATTATTTAGCACTCCTGATGGGACGTAGGTTAAACACTGGACTGCTAACCTCAAGGTCTGCAGTTCAAACCCACCAGTCGCTTTTCAACAACCAGTTGCTATGGTTCGGAACTGACTCAATTGCATTATTTAAACTGTTGTTGTCGTTAGCTGTGATAATTCACTCACCACTCATGGCATCCCCATGCACAATGGAACCAAACGCTGTCCAGTCCCCACATCGTCCTGCCTTGGAGTGTTGCCTTCGATAAGGTTTTCATTTGCTGATCTTCAGAAATAGATAACCAAGCTTTTCTTTGTAGTCCTTCTTAGTCTGGAAGCTCCACAAAAACCTCTTCAGAATCACACTGACCAGTGGCAGCACATGCCGATATAACTTAACAATGAGTTGGTTGTTCAGTATCATAGTGGTCAATGCAGAAATGAAGTATGGTCAGGCACGACTTAAAGCACTGTTGTTTGTTGGTAAGTGCTGTCTAGTCAGTTCCGACTCATAGCAACCCTGTAGGAGGTTTCTGAGGACTGGCTGATGGATTTGAACCACTGACCTTGCTATTAGCAGTCCAGTGCTTATCCTACAGTGCCATACCAGGACTCTTTCATAAAGCATTGGATGTGGAAAATCCTCTCTGTGAAAGTGTATTTGGGCTGGAGAAATGCACTAGTGTAATTGTTACGGTACAAATCCTGCCTCCACCATCCCCAACTCTGTGACCTGCAAGTTATGCAACTTCTGGCTCCTGTTCCTCTTCTGTATAATGGGATGATGCAGACAACGGCTACCTTACAAGGTTGTGTGAGGTTTAAATTAGTTTATGCATGCAAAGTGCTTACAACTGTATCTAGCAGCTGGTGAGTTTGAACCACTGACCTTGTGTCCAGTGCTGGGTCTAAACTGGTGGAGCTCCAGAACCACATTTCAGTTTATGGAAAGAGTTCTGTTCTTTAAGCAAAAAGACTATGGCTTTATTTCCCAGAGCACCTGAAATGTACCACTTATGACATAAATGTGCAAGATGGTTTGGGCCGGTCTAGGAATAAAGCAAGAAATAGCCACGATCGTTCGCTCAGGTCTTCAGCTCATTCCAAGAAGGAAGCCTCAGGCTGCCGCTACTTGTTGCTGTTTTTTTTTTTTTTTTTAAGGTTTTATTGTGAATTATGTGATAGTTTACATGGGAGAACATTAGCTTTACATTCATCCTATCATAGATCGTTTCATTGCCATGGTTACAGTCCCCTCCATTCATCATCAAACAACCAAACGGAACACCCTACAAGGCTGCCCCCAGCCATCAGCACACAGCCCCTCTCTTTCTCTGGGTCTAGCATCCCCAGCCGCTCCATCGCTCCCTGTCATCTTCTCTGCCTCCATCTCTAGCGTTGCTATTTTCTCTTGGAAGGGTCCTGCGCTCCGCTCTTCTCCCTTGATGGTCCCAGGACCCTCTGCTCCTGGACTGCAAAGTCAATCACTCCCCTCCTTTTGCTACAAAATGTCTACCTTTACATTTCCAACCCATACAGTCAGTCCTGATAGCATTTATTCACTATTGTGCCACATGAGTGCTCTCCACATCTCCTTTCTTCGTTTCTGGTGCTTTTAAGTGCTGTTGAGTCGTTTCCAACTCATAGCGAACCTGAATAGGGCTTCCAAAGAGTAACTGGTTAGTTTGAACCGTTGGCCTTGTGGTTCAAAGCGACCTTGCCATCTTGAACTTATCCTACAGTGCCACATCCAGGCTGGTGCTAATGTGTATTATTATTGTTATGTTGTTGTTGTTGTTAACTGCAGTCGAGTTGATTCTGACCCATAGCAACCCTGTATAGGGTTTCCAAGGAACGGCTGGTGAGCTTGAACCACCAACCTTGCAGTTCAAACAGACTTTGCAGTCTGGCACATTAACCCACAGCGCCACTCCAGGACTGCTATTGATATTATAGTTGTTGTTAAGTGCCATTCAGTCAGTTCTGACTCATAGAGACCCTGTACAGGGTTTCTGAGGAGCAACTGGTGAGTTTGAACCACCGACTTTCTGGTTAGTAGTCCAGTGCTTCTTACAGTGTCATATTAACCAGATAAAAAGCCAGTGGCTTTTGATTCTCATTCATGGCAATCCCTTGCGTTTCAGAGGTAACTGTGTTTAACAGTTTTCAAGACTTGATTTTTCTTTTTGAAAACTATTTTATCTTGTTGTTGTTGAGAACATACACAGCAGTTCAAGTTTCTACATGATTTTTTTCAGAAGTAAATCGCAAATAGACAATAATATCTAGCTAGAATGAAAAACACTGCTTTCTTGTGATTAAGATTATTGTGACATTAATGAAAATTAATAATGGCTTTCAGTTGGGGGGCAGTTAAAAGGTTTTCTTTTTAAGTACATCTATTTAAGTAGAAAAAGTTAGTTGATGTAAATCAAGAGCATGCATAGTGAGAGTATAGGGAATACAAGCAAATGGAGTCGGGATTGCGCAGTCGTTGGAGCCTACTCAGCAGCTCTGTGAGAAAAAGACCTCAAAATCGGCTTCCGTAAAGGTGACGGCTCAGAGAGTCCTATGCAGCAGTTCTTCTCTGTGTCACGTGGAGCTGTTGAGTTGGAATCAATTGATGGGACCCAAGAACAACAACTGTTGCTTTTATGTGTGGTCCAGTCACTTCCAATTCATAGAGACCTTGTATAGTTTCTAAGGAGCAGCTGGTGGGTTTGAACCGCCACCTTGTGGTTCTAATCGACCTTGCGGTCCAGTGTTTTTCCTACAGTGCCACATCAGGACTGCTCAGCAACAATTGTTGTTTAGTGCCCTCAACTCAGTTCTGACCCCATATAGGGTTTCCGAGGAGTGGTTGGTGGGTTCGAAGTTCTGACCTTGTGGTTCAAACTGACCTTGTGGCCCAGTGCATTATCCACACCAGGACTCCCAACAGACTAGCACAGGAAAAAATTATGAAGGTGGTGTTTAAAGGATTCAAGTTAAGGAAATAGGTCTAAAGGGAGAAAAACAAACAATAAAGGTTGAAAACATTGATTTAGTCCTTCATTTTAACAGAGTAAAGTTGGTATTTAGTGAACACTTGCAATGTATCAGGCAGTATACTGGATGATTTTTTGCCTATTTAGCTTAGTTTTGAGAGCTGTGATTGTTCACATTTTGAGTATGAGTAAACCAAGATTCCAAGAGCTAAAAGGCTGAAAGTCACAGAACAGAATCAGAACTGAATTTGGACTGACCATTTCCAGAGGACAGTTTG